CAAATAATATCCCTCATCTCTTTTAACACTATAGGTAAGATGCCATCAGGGCCCTGTGATTTATTTATTTTGAGCTTAGCTTGGCTTAGCACTAATAGGACAATCATCTTGTTTTAGGGAGAGCCCCTAGGGGAAGACATGAGCTACATGGCAGGGCTACATGGGCCACAACAGCAACCCACGTCTGATTTCTGCTTTCAGACTAGTGGTAGGAACATGTATTTCAGATATTGTCAGCATAACTCTGAGCTAGCGCTAATTTAAACCATAAGTTTATCCATTCTTGTCACAGGAATACTTTTTTTTACTCCTTTTTGTGCACAATGTGTGTCTTCCATCTCCTCAGTTCACTGTGTATAGTATCTCTAGTCCTGGGCCTTGACCCCGGTGGGTTGGATACATTATGTCAGATAATCCAAAGACTTTGTATAACAGTATCTTCATACCAAAAAGATTAACCACAAAAACTACCTTGCTCATTTTCATCACCCCACTGTTCCAACAGATGATTTGGATCTTAAGGTAGCCAACATGTCTCCTTTTTGGAGTGAATGTTCCTCCTTTGATGCCAAAATAGCCAAAAATATGAGGAGAACGGAAATGCAATTAGTTCCATTCATAGGAGTATGTGGTATAAACCATACCAAGATGCTGATTTGTGGTTACTTTTGTGTGTGCTGTGTGTGTGCAGTGTGTGCTTGTGCATATTTCACTTCCTGATTAGATACAACCCTGTTTCCAAAAAGTTGGGATGCTGTGTAAAATGTAAATAAAAACAGAATGTAATGATTTGCAAATCATATAAACCCATATTTAATTGAAAATACAACAAAGACAACACCTCAGATGTTGAAACTGAGATTTTTTTTTTGTTTTATGACTGATATATGCTCAATTTGAATTTGATGCCTGCAACACATTTCAAAAAAGGTGGGACAATGGGCAATGAAAGACTGGAAAACTGTGTAATGCTAAAACAAAACAGTTGGTTGAATATCTCACAACTAACTAGGTTAATTGACAACAGGGCAGTAAGATGAATGGATATTAAAAGGGCCTCCCAGAGAGGCAGAGTATCACTGCAGCGAAGACAGGGAGAGATTTGCCACTATGTGAAACACTGGGTGGGCAAATATTGCAACAGTTTAGTAATGATGTTCCTCAACGTATTATTGTAAAGAATTTGGGAATTTCATCATCATGTTATTTGAGTCCAGGTAATCTACCATTTTCTCTTTGATTATAGCCTCCATAACTTTACCAGTTATACAAGTTAGACTGATTCCGAATAAATCTTTGTATGCTAGGGACAAGGCCAAATACTGATATTGAATAGCTATGATCTTCAAGTCCTCAGGCAGCACTGTGTTAAAAACAAAGATTCTATAGTGGAAATCACTGCATGAGCTCAGGAACACTTCCCAAAAGCATTGTCTGTAAGCAGAGTTTGTCGCTGCATCCACAAATGCTTTACAAGGCAAAGAAACCATATCTAAACATGATCCAGAAACACCGCCGACTCATTTAAGATTGAAGGAAAATGGAAAATTGTCTTGTGGTCTGATGTATCAAAATTTCAAATTCTTTTTGGAAATCATGGATGCCGCGTCCTCCAGCCTATAGAGGAGAGGGACCATCCATTTTATTATCAGTGGACAGTTCAAAAGCCAGCATTCGTGATGGTATGGGGGTGCATAAGTACCCATGACTTTGGCAGCTTGCGTATCAGGGACGGCATCATTACTGCTGACTGATACATACAGGTGTTGGAACAACATATGCTGCCATCCAGACAACGTCTTTTTTCAAAGGCTTTATGTATTTCAGCAAGACAATGCTAAAGCGCATTCTGCATGTATTACAACAGCAAGGTTCCGTAGTAGAAGAGTCTGGGTCCTAGATTGGTTTGCCTGCATTCCAGACCTGTCACCCACTAAAAATATTTGGCACATCATGAAATGAAAAATATGACAAAGGAGACACTGAACCGTTGAGTAGTTAAAATCCTATATCAGATAAGAATGGGACAACGTTTTACTTTCAAAACTCCAGAAACTGGTATCCTCAGTTCCCAAATGTTTACACCGTGTTGTAAAAACGTGCACGTAGCACAATGGTCAACATACCCCTCCCAAATTTTGTTAAACGTGTTGCTGACATCATTCAAATTGACCATATATTTGTCATAAAACAATAACATTTGTGGTTTTCAACATTTGTCATGTTGTCTTTGTTGTAAATGTGGGTTTATATGATTTGTAAATCATTGCATTCTGTTTTTATTAACACTTTACACAGCGACTTTACTGTTTTGGAAACGGGATTGTAATATCTCAAAATAAAACCAACCCAAATATCCACTTAACTGAATTCTGTAATTCTAAATTAAATTAACATACATCAATATCAGAAAGACTTATACAGATACATTATTGTTGTGTATTTGTTTGGGTGTGAGTGTGTTGTATGTGGATAGTATAGCATGCAATGTTCAGTTGTCATTACTGATTTTTCTCCCTTCTACAAACATCATCCCAAACATTATTTTAGGACTATTTATGAATTAATTTAATGTGAGAAGGAATACTCATTCATATCATCTGCTGTAATTATTTTCTGTTAGATAATTCCTTCTGGTTCACAGAACATGTATTATTATTTCATTGTAAAAATTACCTGACTTGTACTTTAAAGTGAAACAGAGTTGCCTTTTAATGGGAAGGATTGACAATGGTTATTAATTCCAACAATGAAGATTTTATAATAGACAAGGGCACTTTAAATTATTTGTAGTGGTTTTAGGGAGCGTGGTAAACAACTTGTCAATGTTAACTAGAATCATTTCACTTTAAACTGTCCACATCTGTGTATCAGGATTATGTGGAAATGTATGATGCTTACTTTCACTTATTACCATTATATTTGTAAGTGTTTATAACCCCCAGGACTGTGCATATGCATCTCAGGTATTTGTGAGGATACCCAGTGTGTTATTTGGGTGCACTAATCTGTGTATATGTCTGTGTTCCATGGGCATCGTGCATGTGCACTTGAACAAAGATTGCTGTTTGTCTGCAAGGACAGAACTGATGAAGAACTTGCTTGGGGCTGAGGGTCATCAAACTTGGAGACGAAGATTGCCCTCTGCTGTTACTCCTCTCCAGCTCAGGAGGACACTCTCCACGAAAAGGGAGAATACTGGAATGTTTACATTTTGACATGTTAATGTTGACAATGACAAAACAATCAATAAAGGAAGCTGTTTTCTGCTTGGTCCAATTAATACACATTCATACACTTGTGGGGGCTTGAATGGTTTGGTGTGAGAAAGTTTGGAGAAATAGTAAAATTTTACAGAAAATCTTTATGGAGAATTGTTATTATGGCTTAGAATAAGACATGAAGGCAGAATACATTAAATTAGACTAGCAAGAATAAATGAAAAGCAAGCGCTACCAAACAATTCAGTGAATTGTTTATAATATAGTATAGATGCAACTGTAATGTTCCATAAGAAATATTTTTATTG